GTTTCGCTGCGAGAAAAACGCTCTTTTGTCCGTTCTTATTCCTTAGCATTCAAGCACGACCTGACGTTGCATGTGCCCTCAAAATCGCCGCTGGTAAATTGCAATTCGTCTTGAGCCTTCGACGCGGATAACATCGCAAAATTAAGGTCGGCGAGTAGTATTCGCGAGCCTTCCTTGCCTTTTAATTCTTATTTCTTTCGCCTGGCTGCGCGCTCCCTTGTTGTGCATCGGAACACGGTATCCTGGAATGTGCCGCACAACAAGGCTGCTATAATGCAACGTCGGGTGAGATGAGTGGGCGGTTTTACGTGAAAAGAAGCGAAACTAATACACAAAATTTCAAGCAAAGCAAAAAAGACACATTGAGGCCGAGTTTAGCGGCTTGATAGAGGAGGACGAGCTTCTGTCTTAAAAGAAAGGATGTGAAGGCCATCGTGCAAAGATGGCCAGGTTCAGATAGCGATATTAATTACTACGCAAAGATGCGTCAACTAAATCTCTCTCTCTCTTTCTCTCCTTGCAACGAAAGAGCAGACTACGAGTGTATATTCGACGAAAAAGTTGTCCGATTTTTTTTTTGTAAGTGTACGACAATTCTATTCGCTGAACATAACAAATTCCTTAACCCAGCATTTTAGAAGTATTCAATTTTAATTTACTCGATATGTCTTTGCAACTAGGGCTGTGTGCCGTTTTTATTGGAAATTACGTCATTGTAGTACACTGCCGCAGTCGTTTCGAAATTATCTCACTACTACCAGGAAAGCTATCACGTCCATTTTAGAATGGCATTGCAGTGCATTACAAGAATGATATCTTCACGGGTATCTGACATTCATTAGACGTCCATATAACTTCCATAGCTCCATGCGATATCTATCTCCACAGTGGATGTCAGATAGACTTCTAATCGAGATTCTGATTATCTCCGTGATACACGTACTTTATAAATCCATCCGTAAGGAACATCCGTAAGGAACAGTAGGTTTGACCATAGAAGTAGAGTCGTTAATAGGCTGTTTAAAATTAGTGCTCTAATTGCGGATAAAAAGTTTAAGAGGGTGTTATATGCTCTTACTGAGCGAGTTTGTTGACCGCACTACCACTTCTCGTTGGTTCGCTTCCGCCTACAGTCACCATTCTTTTCAATTTTGTGATTTCTCGATAGTTTTAGTCTTTTGTGTTTGGTATCGGCAGGATGAAATTCTAATTGGTTTCTTAGCTTGATATAAGTAAAAAACATTCTCAAACATACTCAAAAGGATCCTTTTTCTCTTGGTTAACCTGAAGGCCTTGGATCAAACTACGTCATTGCAAGTCTCTCTACACGGGAAGCTCATAAAGAGAGTGTATGAAGTTGGCACCCCACTTTTTGAAATTTATAATTTTGAAAGTTGTTCCAGATTGTTCTGACTTTGTACCACATTGTTCCAAAGTGATATTGCTTCATTCAAAACGGTTTTCGAATAAAACAAAAAAAATGATTTTTTGAGCTGGCACCCCACTTTTCGAAAATCGAACATTCTGATACCGCAATAGATTGTTCTAGTTGGTCCAGACATTGTTCCAAAAGGACAAATCCGTAAGTTGAATTATAAGTCAAAAAATGAAAAAAATATTTTTGACCTGGCACCCCATTTTTTGAAAATAAAGTATTCCTATACCGATATAGATTGTTCTAGTTGTTCCAAACATTGTTCCAAAAGGACAAATCCGTAAGTTGAATTATAAGTCAAAAAATGAAAAAAATATTTTTGACCTGGCACCCCATTTTTTGAAAATAAAGTATTCCTATACCGATATAGATTGTTCTAGTTGTTCCAAACATTGTTCCAAAAGGACAAATCCGTAAGTTGAATTATAAGTCAAAAAATGAAAAAAATATTTTTGACCTGGCACCCCATTTTTTGAAAATAAAGTATTCCTATACCGATATAGATTGTTCTAGTTGTTCCAAACATTGTTCCAAAAGCGCAAATCAATAAGTTTAATTATAAGCCCGAAAAATTAAAAAAAAGTATTTTAACAGTCTATCGGACCAAGAGTAAACTTATACTGTCTTTTTTGTTCCAACTGAGATCTTTTTGTTCTGAGTTGTTCTAGGCTTAAGAATTATAGTTCTAGAGTATGAGACTCATAAGATCATCACGTGTGTGTGTGTGTGTGTGTGTGTGTGTGTGTGTGCGTGCGTGTGCGTGTGCGTGTGCGTGCGTGCGGGTGCGTGTGCGTGCGTGCGGGTGCGTGTGCGTGTGCGTGTGCGTGTGCGTGTGCGTGTGCGTGTGCGTGTGTGTGTGTGTGTGTGTGTGTGTGTGTGTGTGTGTGTGAGGCATCCTCTTAAGTTACAAATTCGATTTTTTATATACGGTGTCCAAAAATTACATTTATTACATACATGCAACTTTTTTGCTAATAATTTTTTAACAACCAATGAGCGCCGGCTAAAACCTTTTGATTGTCACTCAGGACATTATCCTTGATAATATATATCAAGGTGGAGGTCATCGGAGGGTGCTCCGTTATAGTCGATAATTATCATAAAGAATTTCAGATTTGAGTTCGTCTGCGAATCATAGAACAGTCTTATTCTGTTGATTACATCTACAGAATTTGATTTGACAGACACTACAAGTAATTAAAATTTCACAAGGATTCATTTAAGTTGTCAAGCTTACAGATTTTTTTTTAAGATTTTCTTTTGTTGAAGTAAGCATCTTGTTTCGTTGTAAGGTTTCACTTCAAGTGACCATAGAAATTCTCTGTTCAAACCTACAACTAAAACATGCACAATATTCGTTATTATTAGTTTGAAGATTATTTATTTATTTTCATTTTAATTCATGTGGGATCGTGTTAATAAGACAATAATGTAGAGGTAATAACGAAATGTAACAAGTTTATTCTCTGACAATAACTCTGACAGTGCGCTCTCCAAAAGACACAGTCTTTCTCTGCTCGTCTTCCTTGTCGCTGCCGTCTTATATACCTCTCACACGCATACTCTCACTCATACAATAAGTTTTTTCTATTCTACGCTCTCTGTAAAACAATAGAAACTGCGCTCCTAAAACCGCCTCCATCAAACAGCGCCGAACGTCGCTAATCTCTTTGGAGACGCCGCCGTTTCCACCGCGCGAAGCCGCCGCTTCGCCGAACTCAAACAGCGGACGTCACACACATCTCTCTCTCTCTCTCTCTCTCTCTCTCTCTCTCTCTCTCTCTCTCTCTCTCGTTTCGTTGCCAAGATGAAAGAAAATGGATTCATTCTCCAAAAGAAAGCAAGACACGATCGTTTCGCGCATCATAATTTCATAAGCGCCTGTGGTATTTCGAAACGAGCTATTCTACATCGAGATCTCACCTTTCCGCGCGCGCATATGTGTTATATACAAAGCAGAGGTCGAAACGATCGAAACTATACCGGTTCCGATACACGGCCCGAGAGAAAGACAGGAGGAATGACGATACACACGCATTCGCGCGCAATTCAGCGAGGACGATTTTGTGGAAAGTCGAATGGAGAGAGCGAATGATGCTGCCCGCCGCCGCGTTACCGCCGTCTCGTACTGCTCGCCTGCTCCAATTGCGATTTCTCGCTTACGCGTGCTAATTAACCCTAATTGTACGACGAGTGGGAGGGAGGATGGGGGGCAAGCGGTGGTGTTGCTGATGGGGCCTGCAGAGGAGGATAGATCGAGGCCGATAGAGCGACAGGGACGAGCTATAGCGGGCGATTTCACCGGATCCCTTCTCGTCTCCTCGTCGTCGAACTTTGCGATTCGAGAACGAGATAACATTCTGTCGTGGCGTGCAATATCGTCCGCGAATTGCTCGTATACACACGTACAGTACATACAGTGCGCGTACACGCGCGAATATCTGCGTGCGTTTGAGCCGAGAGGCTCGCACGCCGCCGTCGGCGGTCGTCATTCTCGCGGATCCAACGGCCGTTTGTGTTTTACACGGCGTCGCATTATGGCGCGATGTGTAACTCGGTGTAATATCAGATACGGGCCGGGGGATGGCTAAACGCGGCGATTAATTTGCGCGACGCGGCGTGTACGCAATTATACATGCGTTGGTGGCGCGCGAACGCGCGCCGGGAAATTACGAGTGGCTCGACGACGATTAGAAGGGACCGAGGCTAGATGCCCTGTGTTTTAGAATTTCGAAGTTACAACCTCTCGGGCAATTAATTGTTGCGACTGACTATATAAATATGATAGAGGTAAACTGTTTCTATGTATATTAGTGCTCGCCACGACCTTGGTAATCGTATATTTTATTCTGTAATAATCAAAATACGAACATACAGAGCCATTTTGCCTTGGTATTGGGTTCAATAATCCAGTAACGCAGGATAAGAAGGCCACGTATAAAATATGTATCCTGATTAGCAGTTTCAGAGTCTCCGCGCGAAGTCTCCACAGCTCTCCTGTTAGCCTTTAATTATGAGCCAACTTTACCTCGTCCTCCCATACACTCTTCTATTGCAATCATTTTATGAATGAAAATTGCATTTATTATCAGAAACAGTATATTATACACTTGTGAGAAATTTTATTCTATCGGTGAGCTTGTGACGCGTCGTGACCGTCTAAGGACGGGCTACTCAAGATGACACTCCATCCACGCGGATGCACGGAGAGCCGGGAAATTAAAGCAGTAACGCCGCGTAAAGGCGCAATTCGGTCCAATTCGCATGCAAATTTATGTATCACTTATGCCGCGTACAGTTACACTCACGAAATTTACACGAGTGGTTAGGTTGTCCGGTTTGCCTGCCGGACGAGGAGACGAGTTTCGCAGAATCCATTGCGATCAGTAGCGAGCAACGGCAAGCGACTAGGGATGGGATCGGCTCAATAT